TATGTGTTTCTTTTGCTTCAGACAATCCTAGTGGACATTTAGGTAGCGCCAGGGTTGCATCCTTTCACTCTACTTATTCAGTCTGGATGCTGAGCACATAATCTGAGAAACTCGGTTACAATTTTGGGTTACAAAGAAGAACTGGCATCAGGATTGGAGGAGATTCATCAACAACCTGTGATATGCAGTTGATTCAACCTTGCTTGCTGAAGGCGAAAAGGATGTAAAATACTTAATGATGAAGGAGCTCTGATAGCATAGTGGTTACGAATTGGGCTGCTAACCTCAAGGTCAGAAGTTCGAAACTACCAGCTGCTCTATGAGAGAGATGAGGCTTTCTGCTCCCATGAAGATTTATAGCCTCAGAAACCCTATACAGGATCTTTATGAGTCGGAGCTGACTCCCCAACACTGCACATAACCATCAACACTCAGGGAAGCAGCAGTCAAAAAAACAAACAATATGCTGTATCAGGCAAATCTGCTGCATAAGACCTCTTTAAAGTGTTGAAAAGCAAATATGTCTGTTTGAGAACTAAAGTGTACCTGACCCAAGCCATGGTATTTTCCATTTCCTCATATGCGTATTAAAGTTGGACAATGAATAAAGCAGACGATAGGAGAATTGATGTATTTGCATTATGGTGTTGGAGAAGATTATTTAAATATATGTTGGACTGCCAGAAGAACAAACAAATCATTGCTGAAAGAAGTACAGCCAGAATGCTTCTTGGGAGCCAGGACGGTGAGACTTCGTCACTCATACTTCTGACATATTATTCCCTGGAAAAGGATACCATGCTTGGTAAAGTGGTTGTTTTTGTTGTTAAGTACCGTGGAGTCGGTTCCGACTCATAGTGACCCTGCACAGGGTTTCTGAGGCTGTAAATCTTTAAGGGAGCAGAACGCCTTAGTAAAAAAGAGGGAGACCCCCACCTAGATAGATTGGCACTGTTGCAGCAGCAATGGGTTCAAGTGTAACAATTGGGAGGGTATCACAGGACTAGACAGTGTTTTGTGCTCTTGTGTATAGGGTTGATATGAGGCAGAACCTCCTTGACGCCATAACAAGAAAGAATGTTGAGTTGGTATTTGGGGTGATTTAAAACTTTGACCTAAGACATTATTTTGACATATTAAGAGCATTTCTTTCTTTCACACTGTAGTTCAAAGAAACTGCATTCTTCCTGTCTAAATTCCATAGCAGTTTCTATTTTCCATTCAGAATCTGTTGAAAATTACATCAGATTTGCATTTTAAGGATGGCAGCGGTTAACTAGGTATATCACTTGCTACAATAGCTTTTGGGAGATTAAAAAAGAGATGATTGTTTTTATAAAATACACAAGAGATCGTAACTATAAATGCAATAATTCACGTATGAATTCCTGAATATAAAAATGTTTTTTTTTTTCAAATGTATTTGACTTTTATTCCATCATTTTCAACAGTTGTGTCCTTTTATTTTGGGTTTGCATCACAAGGTTGGTAGTTCAAATTCACTAGCTGCTCCTTGGAAACCCTATACAGGATCACTGAGTCGGCACAGACGCCACGGCACTTAACAACTTTGCACCTGGGAGCCTAAATTCTGTAGGATAAACATTGGACAGCAAATCACAAGGTCAGTGGTTCAAGCCCACCAGCTGCTCCTCGGGAGAAAGATGAGACTTTCTGCTCCTGTACAGATTTATAGCCTTGGAAACCCTAGTGTGGTTGCTGAGTCAGAATTAACTGATGGCATTTAACACCTTTGTACCTAGCACAGAGCTCTTGTTAATAGTTTAAAGTAAAAAATACATTGTTGCCTTTTCAGTTTAATGGGGGAGACCACAGATAAAGCATGGGTTCTGTACAGGTGTTGAAGGTGCATTTCCACTCAACAATTTAAGCAAATCTTGGTATTCTTTTTGATGACTGGAATTAGGGGGAAAGTTCAGGTAACATGTTGAATATCTAGCGTTCCTTTAAAAATCTGCAAAACCCAATTGATTATGCTTTAATCTGATATCATTGTGGATGTTAGGTTTCCTGAACCAGAAGTATAATCTTACACATTTAGTCTCCTAATTATTATAATAATTTAAAAAATTCCTTTAGGCATTTTAGTTTGTGCTGTTGTTTCCTGAATGAGTAGTAGTAAAAAGGCTTAGCACTGAAATGTCATGTAATGCCAGGTAAGCAGCATGCAGTAAGTAGAGTGCCTCCAGTCAAACCTAACATAGCTTATGTAGAAATTCAAGTATCCCCACTTTTTGAAAGTTCACTTTATACCACTTCGCTTTTATGAAAGACTTATATTGGTATGTTTTCCCCAACCAAAAGACATCCAATGAGGACTGCAGCTTTTATGAAAGGAGAAAAGCGAAATTACCCTTCAGTTACTGTTTTGCAGGGAGCTGTTGAAGAGGCAGAGCACAACGCGAGCGAGTAGTAGTGGCATCGCCAACCTTCTTCCCCAAGAAAGACACTCAGCATTTCAGCATAAAGCCACCATTACTTTGAACTGTATTTATTAGTGTTGCTGTTTAGGTTTCATATTATTTGGTAGTTTGGTGGATTGCTTTTTGGTCTGGGAACACAAACATTTTCCCATTGATATGAATCAATGGTTAATTGCTTCTTTGCTTTATGTCATTTACGTTTACAACAGGTTTTATAGGAATGTTGTACTATGTATTATGGGGCAGCAGGGGAAACCTGAGTGTTCAAAATCTATGAACAACAAAAAACCCCTGGAATTTCTATTTTTTTTTTCTTTCTCAACCCTAAAAGGCATTCTTCATTTATTTTTATACACCTGAATTCTAACAATGCCTTTTGACTCAAACCCATAGGGTCCATAATTCAGCAAGAAGGCGCCACTGTTGAGAATCAGCTCCACCTGTTGAGGTCAGTTGGTTCATTGGGCTGGGCTGGGCTGCTTTCCTGCAACCACTCCCTCTCTAAATGAGGGTCTCCCCGAAGACCGTAGGCAGTTAACTGCAAACATCTGCAACATCTGCTCGACTGGCTCACCACCGGCCCTCAAAGGGTGAGGGGACCCGCATGGCAGCCACAGTTGCACTGCACAAAAGACAACACCTATGTCGAGGAGCCATCGGTCTTGCGCAGAACTCGCAGTTCCCGGCATCCCCTGAGGGAGCGAGGCCAGGGGCACTGGGAGCGAGGCCAGGGGGCACTGGGGGCGAGGCCAGGTACGGCGAGGGGGAGGAAGGCTCCGCCGCAAGCCCAGAAGAAAGCCTGACTCATGTCGTGACGGCGGCGACGGCAGACTCCTGGGAACTCAAACTCGTGATGCTGTTGCTGCGGAGAAAAGTCTCATTAGCCATTCCGCAGGCGGGGACACCACCACCAGCGCTCGCACCCGAGAGCAGGGTTCCTGCACCCTCTGCGGGCCCCGCCCCTCTCAAAAGCGCCCCCTCCTCTGCCGCGAGCCCGCGCACTGGCCGCGAGTGAGAAAAGAGCGGACACACCTAACCTAGCGCGCGCCTCCCCGACCCCTCAGTGTGCTCCACCCCTACTCAGAATCCCACAGTCCGACCCGGATCCGCTCCCTCGGCCGAAATTCCCCACCCCCACCCCCTGCGTCGGCGCCTCCGCCAGCTCTCGGCAATTTCCGTGGAGAGACTAGCGCTCGGCAAGGGCCGAAAACCTGCCGCCTCCTTCCCGGCCAGACGAGGCTTTATGTCTGCGGCTCCGGGGCGCATGCGCAGACGCCATCTTCCCTCGTCTCCTTTCCTTGCCCCCTCCCCCCCGCCACCGCTACCGCCACCGCCACCGCCACCTCCACCTCCTCCTCTCGCCGGCAGTCGCCCCTCCTCCTTCTGCGCTCGGGCGCTGGTCCCTCCTCTCCCAATGCCGCGAGAGACTGGGGGATACGGCGGAGCCGAGGGAGCCGGAGCGGAGCACTAGTAACAACCACCACAGCCCCCTCCTCGCCCCACACCCTCCCTCAACACCCACCCACTCACCCGCCCCGTTTGCCGACACCGACCAACCCCACCTCTCGTTCCTTTGAACGGCGTCGGCTGCAGTCGCTGCACCAGCCCGTCTGGCCACCAACGCCGCGGAGAAAGGAGCCGCCGCCGCCTGCGGCCCCCTCCCGCCTGGGCCGCGGGAGCAGCCGGTGAGGTCGAGCCGACTGCGGACCAGAGGACCAGAGAGGCTCGCAGCCCTCCGCTCCAGCTCACGTCCTGCCGCCCTCCGGGGAGGCTCGGGCGCCGGCCCCTTCCTCCCCGAGGACGTGTGCTGAGCCGAGGCGCCTGCCCCGAGGGAGGAAAATGCTCCGGCTCCATGGCTGCCAGTGATGGAGCGATCCCTGGGCTCCCGCTCCCACCGCCGCCGCCGCGCCCCGGCCGTGCTCCGCGAGGACCCGGCGTCTCTGCGCGCCCGCCCGCGCCTCGTTGCTCGGCTCAGCGTACCGGGCGCCCCGCCGCCGCCCCGCTCCGGCCCCAGCCGCGGCCAGCGTTTCTTCCCGGAGCAGACGCCGCGAGCCCAGGGGGTTTGAAAGGGTCCGCGGGGCGTGGGGGGAGGGCGCCGCGGGGGCAGCGGGGCCGGGAGGGGAGGTTTGAGCGACACTGAGCTTGGGGCGCGCCGGCGGCGGCGGCGCTGGGGGTGGCGAGGGGCCGGCGGACTCGCTCCGCGCTGCCTTCGTGCAGAGCGGCCGGGAGGGGGTTGCAGCCGCCGCCGCCGCCGCACCGGCAGCAGGGGGCTGAGCTGGCTTCTGAGTTGGCCGGAGAAGGTGGGCATTCCTCGGTTCCCCTCCCTCGTCCCTTCGCTCCCCTCCCGCCTGCCCCGCACCCCACGTGAAGCGGAATATAAAGGGGGGTGTGAGGCTAGAGGGTAAAAAGGATGGCCAAGGACTGAAGGGGGCCCCCCTTCGGGACCCCGGCCGCCCTGTTCACCCTCGTTCATCCTCCCTTCCCGAAGCTCGCCCTCGGACGCAGGAGCGACCGGCGCCGGTGCCTTCGGCTGAGTGAGGAGGAAGAGGAGGAGGAATCGCGCTCGGCGGAGCGGCAGCCGCGTTTTCCTCTCGGGCTTTTGAATACAAAGATTACGGTGCAGAAGGAAATTGCACTCGGCTTCTCCGCCCCCCGGCCCCCAACACAATGCACCAGCCGCCAGAGTCGGCCGCCGCCGCTGCTGCAGACATTAGTGCGAGGAAGATGGCGCACCCGGCTCTGTTCCCTCGGAGGGGCAGCGGCAGCGCCTCCGCTCTCAATGCAGCAGGTACCGGCGTGGGGAGTAGTGTCCCATCTTCCGAGGATTTTCCGCCTCCGTCGCTGCTCCAGCCGCCGCTTCCTGCAGCATCTTCGACGTCGGGACCACAGCCTCCGCCTCCACAAAGCCTGAACCTCCTTTCGCAGGCTCAGCTGCAGGCACAGCCTCTTGCGCCCGGCGGCGGAACGCAAATGAAAAAGAAAAGTGGCTTCCAGATAACTAGCGTTACTCCAGCGCAGATCTCCGCCAGTATCAGCTCCAACAACAGTATAGCAGAGGATACGGAGAGTTATGATGATCTGGATGAGTCGCACACGGAAGATTTGTCTTCTTCTGAGATCCTTGATGTGTCACTTTCCAGGGCGACTGACTTAGGGGAACCTGAACGCAGCTCCTCAGAAGAGACTCTCAATAACTTCCAGGAAGCCGAGACACCTGGGGCAGTCTCTCCCAACCAGCCTCACCTTCCTCAGCCTCATTTGCCTCACCTTCCACAACAGAACGTTGTGATCAATGGGAATGCCCATCCACACCACCTTCATCACCACCACCATCTCCACCACCTTTGCCTCACCTTCCACAACAGAACGTTGTGATCAATGGGAATGCCCATCCACACCACCTTCATCACCACCACCACATTCATCATGGACACCACCTCCATCATGGGCATCACCATCCATCCCATGCTGGTGTGGCCAGTGCATCCATTCCTGGAGGGCCACCCTCAAGCCCAGTGTCCAGAAAACTCTCTACTACTGGAAGCTCTGACGGTGTGATACCAGCTGCACCAACTTCTGCTGTATCATCTAGTGGCTCACCTGCATCTGTAATGACTAATATGCGCACTCCGAGTACTCCTGGTGGTGTCAGTGTAAATTCTGTTACTGGGACTAGTACAATGAATAATGTTAACATTACTGCTGTGGGTAGTATTAATCCTAATGTGACAAGCAGCGTGCTTGGTAATGCTAACGTGAATCCTAGCAATATTCCTGGTGCTGCTAGTGCCAGTGTTGGGCCTGGAGTTAGCAGCAGTGTCAATGTGAATATCTTGAGTGGCATGGGCAATGGTTCTGTTTCATCCTCTGCTGTTGTTAACAGTGTCCCTAACGCAGCTGCAGGGATGGCTGTCGGATTTGTTCCAACTCCACAGCAACAACCAACAGTCAACACATCGAGGTTCAGAGTTGTGAAGTTAGATACCAGTTCGGAACCCTTTAAGAAAGGTAGATGGACTTGCACTGAGTTCTATGAAAAAGAAAACACTGCACCTGCTGCGGAAGGTGTGGTGATCAATAAAGTGGTGGAGACTGTGAAACAAAACCCGGTGGAAGTGACTTCGGAGAGGGAGAGCACGAGTGGCAGTTCGGTGAGCAGTAGTGTCAGCATTCTGAGTCATTACACAGAGAGTGTGGGCAGTGGGGAGATGGGAGCCCTGACTGTGGTGGTGCAGCAGCAGCAACCAGCTCTTCAAGGGGTGGCCCCTCAACAGATGGATTTCAGTAGCACTGGTCCGCAGAGTATTTCAGCAGTTAGCATGCCCCAGAGTGTTTCCCAGTCACAGATCTCACAAGTCCAATTACAGCCTCAAGAACTGAGCTATCAGCAAAAGCAAGGTCTTCAGCCAGTACCTCTGCAAGCCAGTATCAATGCTGCAACTGGTATCCAGCCATCGCCTGTGAATGTGGTTGGTGTAACTTCAGCTTTAGGTCAGCAGCCCTCCATTTCTAGTTTGGCTCAACCCCAACTGCCGTATTCTCAGCCGGTGCCTCCAGTGCAAACTCCCCTTCCAGGGGCACCACCCCAACAGTTACAATACGGACAACAGCAAGCGACTGTTCCTACACAGATGGTGCCAGGCCATGGTAAATTAGTGACTCAAAATCCTCCTTCAGAGTATGGACAGCAGCAACCGATTCTTCAGGCAGCAGTGTCCGCCGGCCAGCCTAGTTCTGCAGGAGTGGGAGCAGGAGCTCCTATGATTCCTGTGGCTCAGCCACAGGGCATCCAGCTGCCAGTGCAGTCTACAGTAGTCCAAACACAACCTGCAGGGGCATCCGGCCAAGCCGCTGGCCAGGCTCAAACAGCAGTGTCCGCTGTACCTTTTAGTGGTCAGATTGCAAATATTGGTCAACAAGCAAACATCCCTACTGCAGTGCAGCAGCCCTCTACTCAAGTCACACCTTCAGTTATTCAGCAAGGTGCTCCTCCATCTTCACAAGTAGTTCCACCTGCTCAAACTGGGATCCTTCATCAGGGAGTTCAAACTAGTGCTTCAAGCCTTCCTCAACAATTGGTCATTGCACCCCAAAGTACCTTGTTAACTGTGCCTCCCCAGCCTCAAGGAATAGAGTCAGTAGTTCAAGGAGTTGTTTCACAGCAGTTGCCTGCAGTTAGTCCTTTGCCCGCTGCTACTAGTATTTCTGTTACAAATCAGGTTAGCGCAACTGTTCCTCCTGCAATGCCTTCAGCCCCAACAAACTTGGTTCCACCACAGAATATAGCACAAACCCCTGCCACCCAAAATGGTAATTTGGTTCAAAGTGTTAGTCAACCTCCCTTGATAGCAACTAATATAAATTTGCCCTTGGCTCAACAAATACCGCTGAGTTCTACTCAGTTCTCTGCACAATCATTAGCTCAGGCAATTGGAAGCCAAATTGAAGATGCCAGGCGCCCAGTGGAACCTTGCTTAGGTGGCTTACCTCAGACTATCAGTGGTGACAGTGGGGGAATGTCAGCAGTTTCAGATGGGAGTAGCAGCAGCCTAGCCGCCTCTGCTTCTCTTTTCCCGTTGAAGGTGCTACCGCTGACGACACCCCTGGTGGATGGCGAGGATGAGAGGTAAGATCATGCCATATTTTCTGCAGACATTCAACAGGTTCGAAATTAATCTAGTTAGTAGCTTTACAATTTAAAATATCTGTTGTTTTCATTTTTGTATGTGGAAATGCATTTTCATGGTAAGTGTTTCCTAGAGTAAGTGTGTGTTACCCAGTGGTTTCAGAGTGGACAAGAATGGTCTTTCATAGTAAAACGGTGTCAGAGTAGTTGAACTTAGCTTCATATTAAAGATAGGTTTTGGGGCACCAAGCATGTGTTATTAATAAAATGCTTTTGAGAAAGATTAATAATGAACAGAAGCTTAATTTGTGCTCACCCACAAATAGTTAATCCATTCTTTGGAGTTAACGAAAATCCTTCTAATCATCCTTTGGGGTGGTTGTGGTCCGCACATCAGTGTCTCCTTTACTGGGCGATCCTTTTCCAGTTCCACTGTGTTTGATTTGAGTCTAAAAGATAATGTAGATAATGTTACCTTCTTTTCCTAGTCAGAACTGTAGGAAAGATGACCTAATCTGGGTGATACTCATAGAGGTGCCCTCAAGCTGTAATCGATCCATTTTTGTGTACTTATTTAATGGACATTTGATCTGAGCAGTAAAGGAATAGGAATCATAAGAAATTTTGCAGGGGAGGAGGGCATGCACTGGATACCTTGGATAGGAGCCTGCTGAGCATTCTCCTTATGCATAGGAGACCAAGGTGGTAGCCATTTTAGAGTAAAAGTCTGGAAGGATTGGGTTTACAGAAGCATGAAAAGAAGACCTGTTTCCCTGCTAATCTACTCTACCTGTTCCCCTTTTCCCTTACCAAATGAATACTTAAAGCTGAAAATATATTCTTAAACGAGTGTTTTCCCAGTTACATTTGAAATAATATGCTAATCATGCCTATTGAATCTTCGAAGCTGCTGGCTTTAGAAAAGTTGTGAAGCATCTCATGATTTTACATTGCTTTAAAACTAAGTTGACGTTAAGGGAATAATCCTTTCCACAAGCTTGCCAGTCTATGACTAGTATTGATCAAATTATAACATAGGAGTTATAACAGGCTATTCATTGTCATTGTAGCATTTTGAATAAGCTTAAAGGGTATTTCATTATTTGGGCATTAGTTTTAGATTTTAATGATTTAATGATCATTAAACCAACTGAAGCATTTGTGTCCTTTATGCATATTTGTGATTTTTACTTTGGAAACATTGAGCATATTTCAAATTAATTGTAATTTAAAATGTAAACCAAAGGCCAAATGTTTCAGTGAGGGTTTCATGATTTTTTAGTGGTTAAAAATAGGTAAGGTAAAGGCTCGCTAATGGAAATATTTTGAAATCTTATCTTTCAGAGTTTTCATTATTTTTCAAATAGACAATTAAAATCTTGTTTACCTAACCAGATGTATTCTGTATCATGTGTACAGAATTGTAGTTTGAAAACCCGAACATTGTACCTTCAAACCTACCATGATTTTGGTAATTACCATTTCTGGTCTGGCATGACTCATTTTTTTCCTCCCTAGTGGTAGGAGGCTTTCCTCTTGGCTTTCTTCAACTGGCTGTTCCAGAAAAAGTCACATGCTGCAATTTACAACTAGGCTTTTAACTGTAGGGAAAGCATTAAATTAAGATAATAGTAACATTTATTTTTCCAGGTAGTAACTGAAGTTACGATTAATTAGGGACAAATTATGTAGAGAGGTTTGGAATTACAGAAGAGACATGAAATGATACTGAGAAGTATGGTGGAAAATACTGGCTTACAGTACTTCGAGTTGTCTTCAGACAGGGTACCTATTTTGAATTTGCTACATATCTGAGCCTTTGTTAGTTAAATTAACATCAAAGTTAAGTCATCAAGATTGGAATATTTCTGTTTCAGAAGTATCCACTAAATTCTGAAAAATCAAAATATTTCACCCTTAAAACACATTTGTAAAGGTTAGAAAGACTATATATTTATAGATGTGTGTGTGTATGTATATATAATTTATTACGTTTTATCACTATTGTTTAGAAAAAGAAATGTTACTGGTTTCAGTTTAAGTTGCCCTTGGAAGGAAATTTGATAGTAATCACTAGTCCTGAAACCCCCCTATACAGGGTCGCTATGAGTCAGAACCGACTTGATGGTGCTTTACACAGCAACAACACTAGATTAAAAAGTGTATGATTTTTAAAATGTATGTATTTTTTTTACCTTTCTTTTCATATTAACTTCTGTGTCACTTGCATCATCTGGACGCTCCGCCATCACTAGTCTCCAATGGAAGAGGTACATTATAATTCCAGTCTATATATTGAAATTTAATATGTATTTCAGTATGTAGATTGAAATTATAATGTAAACATAAAACTTTTTGGTGGCAGCACAAACAAGGGATGGTTATTTAAAGGAGCCATGTGGCACAGTGGGTTAAGCATCGGGCTGTTAACCCTTAAGTTGGTGGTTGACTTTATCAGCTGCTCTGAGGTGGTCTGCCTCAGTAAAGATTCACAGCTTTGGAAAGCCTAAGGAACAGTTCTCACTGAGTTGGAATCGCCTTGATGGCAGTAGGCTTGGTTTTGCTTTATTCTGTATAATCAGCTTTTGAAGTAATATTCTAAAGCTTTAGATTTAAAAAAATTGTTGATTAGACATGGAGAATGTTTTCATTTGGCCACTGGGAAAGATTAAAGATTAGAAACAAGGATCAAGGCATTAAGAGTATGTATAATCTTGATTTTTATGAAATTACTCTTGTAAAGATATTAAGGTCGTATTTTAGATTTTAATATGAAGCTACAGTACAGAGAAAATACAGGTATTTCACACTGAAATGCTTTGTGTTTTGTGGCTGTTAGTGTGACCTCTTTTGTAAAATTGGTTCAACTGCTATACAGCTTTCAAGACTCACCTCAGGTGTTCCTGAGAACCATTTGTTTTCCCCAGGGAATGTTGTTTCCTTAGCACTTTTAATGTTCTTCTATTTAAGTCTTCATGGGACACTAGGATAAGCTCTGGACCTCAAGGTCAGCAGTTCAAATCTACCAGCCATTCCGTGGAAACCCTATGCAGGATCGCTATGAGTTCGCAATCTACTCCAAGGCACTTACAAACAACAATGACCTGTTTACCCAGTTTCCCCACAAGGTTGTGAGTTCCTCAAGAGTTGCCTCTAAAGATTTTTTGATTGAATTAATGGGCAGACCTTTCTCTGCTGTGTGGATTGTTGTCAATTCTATCATGATTTAAAGTTTATGTTCTCCCTCATCTTAATTATAACTATTAGAGATGTAGGATCATATAGATTGTATACAATGGACTGAAAAGAAATGACCTAACAAGACTGGCTCTTTTGTCCCTCTTCATTCTTCCTTGAAGTAAATTGAAGTCTATCTAAGTATAGTCCTAGTCCAAAGTAGGACTCCAGTATTTATTAAAGAGGAATAAGAGGTTTTATATATATATATATATAAAATGGGGATAGTATTCATTTTGTTTACATCAGAGGACAATTGTATCCCATAAAGTTCCGTAACTATAAAATACTAAATGATAATTTTTTATGTTTTTATGTTGCATGGTCACAGTTTAAAGAGTCAAATAGTTTACAAGGTCATTTTAGAAAAAGCTTTATGTCCCTCTTCTTCCCGTTTTCGCTTTCACAGAAGCAATCACTTTCACCTCTTTTAGATGATGTTGTTATTGTTGTTAAGTGCTGTTGAGTTGATTCCGACCCATAGCCGACCCTGTATTGGGTTTCCAAGGAGCAGCTAGCTGGTGAGCTTGAACCACCAAATTTGCAGTTCAAACTGCTTTGCATTCTGATGCATTTAAGTGATTACTGTGGTATTTATTCCCTAGTGTCTAAGTTGCATGCATATAGATGTATAGTCTAGCTTGATGGTTAGGAGCTTGGCCGCTGGGATGAGAGCATTCCTCTGTCATTGACTTAAGTTTTATGTAACATCAGGCTCCTTAACCTCTTTATGCCTCACTTTCCTCTTTGGCAAAAGTGGTAATAGAACCGACCTCATGATGTTGTTAGGAGAATTAAGTGAGTTTGGAAAGTCCTTAGAACTGTGTCTAAATCATATACCTAAGTATTGTTAAATAAAATACTCCTTGACTTTGTAATTTTTCTGTATCTGGTAACTTTCTGGATAGAAAATGAAAATTATCTGTTGCTATTGTTACTCCCTTACTCAGTTACTTCCTTAAGTGCCGTTGAGTCAGTACCCACACGTAGTGGCTCTGTTGTATGGTGTTTCCAAGGAGCAGCTGGTGAGCTTGAACCGGCGACCTTGGTTCAAAGTGAACTTGCAGTCCAGTGCATTAACCCACAGCGCCACATCAGCTGCTGTCTTGAGGTTCCTTTCACCCTCTTCTATTCCAGAGCTCTCTATTCCATGTCTTCTTTCTTGGTTTACTTGGTGCTTTACAGTGGCTATAGCTTACCCTGACATCTGCTTTATTTGGTTCAGTAAAGAACCAAGTGAAAAATTTTGTTCTAATTTTGCTTCATTGCTTTCTAGCTTCCTCCATGTTGCTTTTGAGAAATCTGAAGCTCTCTTGATTTCTCATAGAGTTTCTTTCCCCTTCCTCTGCTCTTTTCTCCTTTCATGTATTTCTGAAGACTTTTAGGATATTATCATCTCTAGTGCTGAGTACTTGGCATGTCCTGTCAGTCTGGAAACATAATTTAATTCTGGTGCCTTTTCTTGAATGAGGTTGTTGATTAATTTCTTCTTCCTTTGCATTGTTTTTTTGTTTCTCAATTCCTTTTACTTAGATAATGGACCTTCTAATTTTCTCCTGTTTTCTTTACTATTTTCCATCTCTTTCCTTTTACCCTACTTCTACTGAGTTTTTATTTCCATTATAATATATTTAATTTCCAAGAGCTTTTTCTTGTTCTTTACTCCTTTAAATTACATGCTCTTTTAATTTTATATGCACCCACAAGATGTTCTCTTAGCTATCTGACTTGATGGTTGTGTTGTTTTAAATCTTCTCCCTGTG